CGAGGACCGGCGGCGGCTGCGGCGGCGGCCACGTAGCGCTGCGGCGGCGGCGGCGGCGGCGGCGGCCGAGGGGCAGCGAGAGCCGCGTCCGCCCGCCCGCGGCGGCAGCGCCTGGGCCTGAGCGCCGGCCCCCCGGGCCGAGGCAGCGGCGGCGGCGGCCAGCGGAGCGCGGGGGCCGAGCGGAGGGGCCGGAGGGAAGGCACGGAGGGAGGGCCCCGGCCGCCCTGCCCTCCGCCCTCCGCCGCCGCGCCCGCCCGCGCCCCCCTCCCCGCGCCGCCCGGCATGGACGGCGGCGGGGGCGGCCCCGAGGGCACCGGCCTGGGTGAGTGCGGGGCCGCCCGCGAGGCCGCCGAGCCCCTTCCCCCTTTCCTTCCCCCGGGCCTGGCGGCGCAGCCGAGCGGCGCTAGGCCCGGCCCGGCGGTGGGCGGCGGGGGGAGCGGGGCACGGGCGCCTCACGGCCCGGGGGGGAGCGGCGGCACCGGGGAGCCGCGGGGAACGGGGAGGAGGAGGGCGCGGGCGGGCAGGGACGGGACCGGGGGGCTCTGCCCCGGATCGTGGGGTTCCCCCGGGATCGGGGGACTCTGCCCGGGATCGAGTGGTTTTCCCGGGATCGAGTGCTATATAATATAATTATGGTGTCCCCCCGGTATCGGAGGTGTCCCCCCGGGTCCGGGGGCTCTGTGTCCCCTCCCCGCGGGCCCGGGGCTGTGTCACCTGCCCGGGGGAGGGGAGGGGAGGTGAGTTCCCGGAGCCGAGCCCAGGGAATCCAGCATTCCCGCACGCTTGCGGTTTGGCTTTGGAGCGCGTCCCGTGCCCGGTGCCGCTCGGTGTCCCGGGGAGGTGAGCACAGGTACCCGGTACCGGGGGGGTTCCCTCATCCCCGGCCTTTTCTCCTCTCTCCCGGGGTCCGGGGATTTTCGGGGTGTCCCGGTGCAGGACAGAGCACCCTGGCAGCTCCCCGGGGTTACCGCAGTTCCAGGCAGAAGCTGAATCCCTGGAGTTTGGGGAAGGAGGGAGAAGGCCCGGAGGAGGATGCGAGGGATGAGGATTCCATCCTCCCGCCTTCGGGCAGGGGATGGAGGGGAAGAGCTTTGGGAAGCACCTGGGCTCTTCCCAGCTGCAAGTTCTGTTCTGTTTCTCTCTGTGCTAAAACAAAACAAACAAACAAACAAAAAAAAATTGGAATTTTTCCGGTGGTTTTGAAAGGATTGCGGAGTTGCCAAGCGGGATTTTACGAGGGCTTTGTGTGTGTGATATCTGATGATTTCCCTCGTGTTTATCACATCTGATCATTTCCCCTCTGCCTCCACCTCCCACCTCTGCGCCAGGTGCGTTTCACTCCCTCTCCTGCCATCCCCGCCCCGGGCTGCCATTCCAGATGTGATCCCGGGAATTCTGAGAGCTTTTTCCAGAGGCTTCCTGAAAGAAAAGTGCAAATTCATGAAGCTCTTTTATTTTTCCAGCTAAGCAGTCGCGTTTCCTGCGCTGCCGGGGGGTTTGGGGCTGGATTCTGATTTTTATTTTCCTCGGGGGGAAGCTCAGAGCTGCAGAAATTGGGATTTGGGAGGTTGGTGGCTTGGGATTATTTGTTCAAACACCTCTGGGATATTGGATATTGAGTATTTTTGGTAGATATTTTAATAATTGGAATATTTGGAATATTGCTCTGGGCAGAGGAGAATTTGGTGTGGGAGGTTATTGTGAGTTTTGAAGGGTTTAATTGACTTTTTAATCCAGTAATGATTAACTGATGTTTTCAGGGGAATTCTTGCTGTGGGGAGGGGTAAATAGAGGCTAAATCATCCCAAAATTGAAAATATTGTGTTGCCAGAACCACGGGATGCGGGGATTTCACCCCGAGAGCTGCAGTTTCACCCCAAAAATCGCAAGTTTTTATCCACGCAAAGACTTTTCCTTGGGATGGGAGCAGGAGATTCCCTGTGGGAACGCCTCGGGAAGGATTCCCGGAGTTCAGGAGGGATTTTTGCAGTAAACAGGAGGAGCAGGGCCGTGCCCAGAGCACACCTGAGGTGGCACAGGTGGATCTCAGGCGCTTACAAAACTCCTCTCCTCGCTGACCTATTTCTCTCTGCCGCTCTCGGGGGCCTGCCAAAATCAAAAATAATTCAATTTATTATTTATTGTTAATTAATTTCCTGGTTCCACCAAAAAAATAAAGGGGCAGAACTGAAAGGAAGCAGCAGGCAGCTGAGGAGAGGGAGATTTCTTTAATATTCTGTGCATAATTATGATATTAAAACATTTTATAGTATATAATAAATGCTATATATATCTATATAATATAATTATATTTCTATCTATTAAACTTATTAATTTTACTTTCCAAAGCAGCATTAATTTACCTTTTGCTAAATCTCTGCTCTTTGCCCTCTCAGAGTTTTATTTTGTGCATATTTGGAGGTTTCCCCTCACAATAATGAGGGGAAAAATGTGGATTTTTCTGCACTGTTCATTTTATTCTCGTGAAGTTTCTCCCTTAAACAGATCCAGGTGAGATCCCCCTGCCCTGAGCTCCCTCAGGGGGGACGTGGTTGCATTTTCCCAGCGTTTTCCACCAAAAACTTGGATTTTTCCTTCTGGATTGGAGCAAAATTGAGGGAATCTCTGGAGCCTGGGGGTGTTTTGAGTGGGATCGTCCCGGCTTTGGTGCCTCAAGGAGAATTTGAATCAAAACCTGATTTTTTTCAGCACATTCCCGTAAAAATCAGGCAAATCCTGTCCCAGCTTGTGCCTTTTCATGGAGTTTTCCCAGGATTTGGGAGCAGCACTCCCGTTGTTCTCACCACCAGCGAATCACGAGAGGCAGACTTCCCTAAAACGCCCCCGAATTCCCAAATTCCGATGTTTTTCCAGGTGATTCTGGGATTTTGTGGGTTGCTCCTCCCTGCTGGAAAAGAGGGAGTGAATCCCTGGCAGTGCCAGCAGGAGATTCCTGCCCTTCCCGACACCCTTCCCTCGGGAGGTTTCACACTGGGACTTTTCCCAGCATTTCCCAGCAGCTTTTCCAGCACCTTCTGCTGGGCCTGCTCCCTTTAGAAATGGGATTTTTTTTTTCCCCTAGAAATGGGATTTTTCCCTGCCTGGAAATGGGATTTTTCCCCCCTAGAAATGGGATTTTCCCTCTGGAAGTGGGATTTTTTTCCCCCCTGGAAATGTTTTTTTTTCTCCCTGGAAATGGGATTTTTCCCCCTGGAAATGTTTTTTTTTCTCCCTGGAAATGGGATTTTTCCCTGCCTGGAAATGGGATTTTTCCCCCTGGAAATGGGATTTTTTTCCCCTGGAAATGGGATTTTTTTCCCTCTGGAAATGCGGGTTTTAGGGAGGCGATGGGAAAGGCAGGGGAGCTGCTGGGATTGGGATCTGGGTTAGGATTTGAGGGGAAAAAATGGGATAAAATCCAGGGAATCTGTGGGAAGAGGGTTTGAGCTTGAGATCCATTGGGAATTGCGGGAGATCCGTTGGGAATTGCAAGAAATCCATTGGGAATTGCGGGAGATCCGTCAGGAATTGTGGGAGATCGGTCGGGAATTGCAAGAAATCTGTTGGGAATTGCGGGAGATCCATCAGGAATTGCAGGAGATCCATTGGGAATTGCGGGAGATCCGTTGGGAATTGCGGGAGATCCACTGGGAATTACCAGAGATCCATTGGGAATTGCGGGAGATCCATTGGGAATTACCAGAGATCCATTGGGAATTGCAGGAGATCCATTGGGAATTGCGGGAGATCCATTGGGAATTGTGGGAGATCCATTGGGAATTACCAGAGATCCATTGGGAATTACCAGAGATCCATTGGGAATTGCGGGAGATCCATTGGGAATTGCCGGAGATCCATTGGGAATTACCAGAGATCCATTGGGAATTGCGGGAGATCCATTGGGAATTGCCAGAGATCCATTGGGAATTACCAGAGATCCATTGGGAATTACCAGAGATCCATTGGGAATTGCGGGAGATCCATTGGGAATTGCAGGAGATCCATTGGGAATTACCAGAGATCCATTGGGAATTGTGGGAGATCCACTGGGAATTACCAGAGATCCATTGGGAATTACCAGAGATCCATTGGGAATTGCGGGAGATCCATTGGGAATTACCAGAGATCCATTGGGAATTGCGTGGTGACTCCAGGGCAGGGTTGGGAGCTTTGGCAACGCCCGGTGGAATTTGGGTCACACCGGGATGGAGCAGCCCGGTGGCAACCTCGGGGCTGATCCAGGAAAATCCGGGAATTCAGCGCTGAAATCCCACTGGGAGCTGTGGACGGAGCCCTGCAGGTGGATTTTTGATGGGATTTTGGGATTTGGAGATCCCAAAGATGCCGAGGTAGAGACACCAGGGAAAGCTCCCGGTGCTCTTTGCCCATCGGCACCGAGGGGAATTTGGGAATTCAGCAGTGAAATTCCCACTGGAAGATCCAAACCAGACTTTCCAGGGGTGATTTTGTGGGAATTTTGGAGGGAAATCCCAAAAAAAGTCCAGGTAAGGACAGGAAGGGGAAGCTCCCGGTGCTGTCATTCCATCAGCACAAGGGAAGTTTGGGAATTCAGCAGTGAAATTCCCACTGGAAGATCCAAACCCAGATTTTCCAAGGGTGTTTTCCTGGGATTTTGGAGGGAAATCCCAAAAGAAGTCCAGGTGAGGACAGGAAGGGGAAGCTCCCGGTGCTGCTGTTCCGTCAGCACTGAGGAGAATTTGGGAATTCAGCAAATCCCATTGAGATGCCGCTGAAAGATCCAAACCCAGACTTTCCAGGGGTGATTTTCTGGGAATTTTGGAGGGAAATCCCAAAAAAAGTCCAGGTAAGGACAGGAAGGGGAAGCTTCCAGTGCTGCTTGTCCATCAGCACAAGGGAAGTTTGGGAATTCAGCAGTGAAAATCCCACTGGAAGATCCAAACCCAGATTTTCCAAGGGTGTTTTCCTGGGATTTTGGAGGGAAACCCCAAAAGAAGTCCAGGTAAGGACAGGAAGGGAAAGCTCCCGGTGCTGTCATTCCATCAGCACAAGGGAAGTTTGGGAATTCAGCAGTGAAAATCCCACTGGAAGATCCAAACCCAGATTTTCCAGGGGTGTTTTTGTGGGAATTCTGCGAGGCAGAGCTGGGTGAGGACGGGATGGGCTTTGGGGCCGTCTCGGAGCCTTTCCCAAACTTTTTGGGGATCCCAAAAGGCAGATTTGGTGTTGCAGTGAAAACCAGGAGGGATTTTGGGCTCCCCAGGAGAACATTCCAGCCGTGGGATTCCCTTTGGAGGCCGGAGTTGATTTTTGATGTTTTTTTTGCTGATAAATTTCAGGTTT